ATGAGTATTCAGGGAAATACAAAGGAAAGCAAACTTTAATATTGTTTGTATCCCTTTAGGCTGCCCAAAATTAATGAGTGATAATATTTATTGTTGGTAGGGACATGGGTATTCATATTTTTAATGGAATTGTTTTAGTCTTTTTGAACAGGAATATGGCCATATCTATTAATATGAAAAACAGATATAGCCGTCAATTCAGCAGTCTTTTTCTCCTGGGAATCTATCCCATAGAAATAAAGGCATAGTGAATAAGAATTTACATACGTAGATGCTCTTACAGCTTTGTTTTCAGTGACCAAAAATTGGAAATAAAAATGAATGCTCCTCAAATGGGCAAAGTTTAATAAAATGTCCTTTCATGTCATGGAATACTATGTATGAATGTATGAAAGATTGAATCAGAGCTAGCCAGCCCTTAGAGTTCCATAAAGTATCACTGGATGAGAAAAGCAAAATATAGAGTTCATGTAATACGGTCTCATTTTTAAACTAATGATGACAGACTCCTGTGTTTTTTATGCTGTGGATCATTGTAAGAGCATAAAAAACAGAGAAGAAAACATACAAAGTTGTTAATATTCGTTCCTTCAGGAGGAGAGTGATGTAAGTAGAGAGGAAAGACAAGTAAAAAAAGAAAAGAAAAGAAAAGAAAACAAGCATAATAAAAATCTCCAAACTTCTTAAAAAGATGTTTACTCCTTAAATTCTTGAGATACTTAATTCTCATGAAAAGTCAGATTTTAAAACAGTCGGCCACTGACCTGTTGCAGCCACAGAGGAGCACATATTCAGAGGGCATTACAGCCCTCCCAGATCTAGCTTGATAATCTTCAGAGTACATTGCTGATAATTCTTTATTGAGGACCTAAGATCCTGTACAAAGACACAGGTCCACGGGTGTTACCTTAACAATTATTAAGTGCCTCTGGCTATTTGGTCAAAGTTTTCTGTGGTAGTGTGGAGCTAGCCTGTCTCTGTACTTTGGAAATATTTTCAGGTTATAATGATGTAAATAATAGATAAATTTTCTTTTTTTCCATCAGTTCAACTCCAGAGAGAGAACTTTGCACAAGACAGGGTCAATGGAACCAAAAACAAGTTTCCAAAATCAAAATCTTGAGTCTTCAGTTCTACCGCCTCTCTGTGTTAAATGCCATCTTTTTTTTTTATGAGTACCACAAAGTTTTTTAATCTGACCACTGTTCCAACATGCAATAGCCAAAATCACATTGCCATGACAATCCCTTATGTTTCTTTCTCGCTCCACCTTGATTTCTTATTTTTATCGATCCTCAGGCCACCTTTCGCTCTTTCCTGACAGTCATTGTAAAGGCGATCTGTGCCTTACCTAGCCAGTTTACCCATGATATCGGTCCAGCCCACATCCTTGTTCATGGAGCAGCTTTGCAAAGCCCCCACAAATACTGTTCCTGTCAAAGAAAATTTTCATTTTGAACCACATATTTCTCTTCTATTTGTTACAGGAGATTCAGCTCCAATATAATCTTATGGGACCACTATCATACTTGCTGTCTATCATTGACCTAAATGTCATTATGCAGTGCACAACTGTGATTCTAGTCTTTTCAGTAGAGGTTATATAACAAATAGTTTCTGGTTTTCAGGCAGAGAATATTTTAGAGCAACATGGTGACATGTTGACTGCCTTAGGAAAATAGACGTTGAGTAAATCTGTCCACCAGCTACAATTATCTAAATATCCATCAATACTCCATCAACTCATCCAAAGTCAACAATAGGCAGACAGTAGAGAGACATCTCGAACTTATCCTGCTCATCTACAACCTAAGATGGTTAGGTGAGGAGTGGTGGGGAGTGGTGAGAGGGGAGAAGGACTCAAAACTTTATGGAAAACACACTGTGCTCAAAAAATTGAATGAAAAATTGGGAACATTTAGTTCAACCCACCTGGGATGTGGACAAGCAAACCCCCACTGATGGCTGATCTGTTTAAGAGTTGATACTCATGTATATGACTGAAATAAAAGTTTTATGAAACAATAATACATGCAGCATACTTTGATGTTTTCTGTTTCTAATCTATTTCTTTTCTGTAAAAAAAATGAAAACAAATATTATTTTACTAAGATCTCTTTTCAAAACTTCCTCTTCCTGGTAAGATGCTATAAACGAATTAATAACTTAAAATTGTTCTCCTCCTGCCCTCAGATTTTGAAAATAAGGATATTAGATACAAATAATAGTAGTATAAAAATAATTGACTTGTGATATCCTAGATTTATAGTTCTCACTAGCTACTAATGCTCAATAAAAACTTTAGGTTTATGATTATTTTTATCTTTTAAGTGTGAAAACTATCAAAGAATTGATTGTTAGAGTTGGGAGATCCCTTTGAGCTTCATCTGGTTCATCGTTCTCATTTTATAGCTGAGGAGAATGAGGCCTAGACGTCTTTAATCGAGTTGCCTCAAAAAGTTTTATGTCAGAGAATTAAAATCAACCAAATCAGAGTAACTTACCTTGCTAGAATATGTCCCTTTAGACCCTTAAAAATGTGTGTTTCCATAAAATTTGTATCATACTGTTTATATTTTCGTATCTTGCCTTTTTCACTCAATATATTTTGTTTTCCCCCAAATCTTTCATTGTTATTCAAATTCGTTACTAACACATTCACATAGCAACTATATAATATCTCATTGCATGAATCTACCATTATTTGACCTATTCCCTGTTGTTGGGCATTTAGGTTATTTTGCATTATTGTTATTAGAAATAAAACCTTTGCACGTAAGTCATGGCTTCTTAAGGGGATTATTTCTCAAGGGGAGAATCACCCATTTGTTCAAAAGGGATGGATGCATTTAGGGCTTCTGACACCTACTACCAAATTGGTCAACCCAAGAACGTTCCACACATTTACCATAAGCAACATGTTTTGTATCTTTTTTGAAATCTTAGCAACTTTGGACCTAACAGGTCAGTTATTCCAGTTAACTTGGAGTTTAAATTTTCCCTAATTTTAATCATTTAAAAAATACTAATAATTATGATGCAATTATTATTTTGAGAAGCTAAGAGGTCTTACTCTCAAATTGTAAGTGTATCTGTAAGGGCTAAGGGAGAAATATGTGACTAAATGGCCAAGTATCAAATGGGAAATATCCAGTTTTCCTGTAGGGGTCACTGTTACTGTCAATTATGCTTGCAAGGAAATGAAAACAGTCATGAATTTAAGACTGTATGCACATTCATTTTTAATGCCTGATTTGTTTACATTCTCTAAACTGTAAAATAAATAAGACCTTCAGCCAGATAGCATCATTATGCCAAGTTCTTTATATAATGACACATACCACTCTCTCCACTCAATAAACTCCTCCGTTTGAATTGATTAAATATGTGCTACTCATATAAAAGGCACTACTGCTTACTCTTAATAGAGGAAGCATTAGCTAATTACCTAACGCCATAAAGTGGTTTAAGTGGCATATGGTGACTTGAAAGAAGGAAAAAAAAATTCATTGCTGTGGCCAAGATCCCCTCCTTCCACCTTCCCTTTTCTGCTTTTCCCATGGACCTCGTTTTGCTCTCTGCCTCAAAATCTACACAGAAGACAAAATCAGATAGAATCTGAATTCTGTAGTGCCATTTGAGTACATAGAGGTGCTGTTCAACATAAGTTTTTATTAATGCAGCTCAAACATGATCCCGACGTTCCAGGAACCGGGCCAATGTGGCTGTGCGGACACACCTTTGCAAGGCAGCTGTCAGGCTTCAGGGCTGGGGCGGGGAAGATGCCAGGTGTTGCTGGAAACGCATCAGCCCTCTCTACAAAGCAGGAGTCTTTCCCATCATAAAATGCAAAGTAGCCAGCCAGCCCTTTTCCATTCTCCCCATGGCCAGCCCTCCTTGTCTGGCGCTGTAAGAAAGGGTTCGGAGGATATTTACTCTCCACTCTTGCACTTCTCTTATTTAACTGAACCCAGTGGCAGCTGCTTCTTGAGCTCAGCGCCAGCGGGCTCAGGCCCAGCCGCACCTTTCAGGCCGACTGCCCAGCGGATCAAGAGCTTTGGCCAAGCTCTACTTGGGCTGGGGCATCCGGAAAGCGGAAGGAGCCCGTCTAGGAAACCAGGGTGTGTGCGATGGTGAGACTGGTGTGAGAGCCTCAACTTCAAGTCGAGGTAGAAAGCTCAGGCTCATCCTTGACATGCTGTGTCCCGCGGCAGAAGTTTTGCTTCCCTCCACTCCTCTTGCAGTTGGGAGGAGTTGAGGCTGGGTGTTACTGAAACTCGCTCACCTGTCAGAACCCGGATCTGGGCAGGGACTAGGGCCTGGCGGCCAGAGCGCGCGGGTCACAGCAACCTCAGCAAGCGGCCCACCCGCGCGGGTAAGCCGCAGCCAGGAAGGCAGGTGTCAGGGCTGCTCCTGAAGACTCGAGGTGACCCGGCTCCGCACCCCAGCTCTCTGCTCGCCCCTTTTGCCCGCAGGCGCCATCGGCTTGGTGTGCCGCAAGGCCAACTCGGGCAGACGCCAGGGTTGCAGGTTCCAGACGCTCCGCCTCCTTCTGCCACTTAAGAGACTTAAGCGCGAGCAGGAACATTTCCACTGGGTCTTAGACTGCGGTCACTGCTGAGGTTTTCGGAACTCTCCAGGCCAAGGCCAGCCAGGCCCTTTGCTTTCCACCAACGCGATCTCTAAGCC